AAGGATGACAGAGTAAGACTCAGTGACCCAACCCCAAAGGTGACTATGCCGAAACTAAGATGAAAGTGCTGTGTCTTTTGCATTTGAAAACATATATACCAACAGGTCTTGCTTATATTTCGATTTAGATGCAGTAGATTAAATGTCTGGTCTTGAAGAATGACTCATTTCTAATATTATTGCAGATAAAAAGTACCATCAAGCAATAAAGAAAGCAGGCATATAATTCTTTCAAAAATAAATATGTAACTATGTTTCTGTCAACAAGTGTCTCCCTGAAGAAAAGATGCAACACCACCAGTTATTGTAAGGACTGGAGGGATTTTAACTGGTTTTTTTTTTTTTACTGCTTCCCATAATTTAATCCACTTCCTTGTCTCCCAGTTCTACTCATCTAATATTTACTCAGTGAGCTCATGCGATGAATTAAAGACACTCATTAACAGCGCAATCCCTACAATGTCTACTCAAAGGAAGCCCAACTTAATACATCCGGATTTATGCCTATGTTGACTGTGTATGGGATTGCAGGTTAAATCACTAGAAACTGAAGCAAAATATTTATCTAATCTAAGTTCTACTTTGCTTCAGAAAACATGGTAGTCATTAAAAACTGATAACTTTTGCCTACCAAATCAGTGTAAACCTGCTGGATAATCTGCAACCAATTTGGCCTAAAATAAATTAATCTGGTGAATATGGGAAAACATTCAGTATAAAACTTGCATGCTTTGTACAGTATTAACTTGCAAATCACTGATCAATAAATGAACAGGCAAGCCTCACTTGCAATAATATACACAGTGATGACGTTAGTTTTATTAATTCTTAGGCACCAAATTATTTTGACAAGTCACTCAACTGCTTTGGATCAAGTTCTGCAAGATACTGGAACCAGGTCTGAGTTTAATCTCCACCACAAAATGAGGCATTAAAAAAAAAAAAAACTCCTGAACATATACAGTTAGAAGATCTATGTGGCTAGCATTTTATTCTCAGCTTCAAAGTAGATATTCCAGTCCTTTTATCAGTGGATTGTATGGAACCCATTTTAAACCACATCTGCACAAAAAACAGATGTAAAAGAAATACACACCCAAGTAATACTATAACCTTCAGTTTTTCAGAGCAACATACAAACTGCAAGACTGTCATTGCTGCATTTCAGCCATTACATTTTTAATTGCTGCACGGTTTCTGTGCTTTTTACAGTTTCACTAAAGACAAATTCCACAAGTCAACAAACTTCTCTCATCACTGCATCTGCAAACTGGGAAAAAGCTTAACCTGACTGAATTTCTGCTTGTCTTACAACAATGGGGCCACATGTCCATGATCGCAGACTGTATCGCTGGACACAATCTTGCTCTAGATACCTGTTGCTGTGTTAGTTTCGTTCAGCGGGCAGTGCATCAGACAAAGAATGCAATTCCAGCCATGTTTGCTAAGCTCAACAGGGTTGACGCTAAGGCTGGGCATTTGCAATAGGTTTTCTGATTCATTTGTTTAAAACAGCAGCAACAAAATGAGTCCTCAACCCACCTCTAGCTTCAATCAGTCTATTGAAAAGAAAGCAGCCTAGGAAATTCAGAGTGATTTGTGTGCGTTGCAGGGCTAAGGGTATGTCTTTTGCATCAGGCTCTGGTTGCTTGAACTGTGTTCAAGAAAAAATGTTGATTAGCCTTCCTCAGCTTGACACCCTCTGGAATTTCTGTTCATTGGCCGTACTATCTGGAGAATGAGGGGAGTTACAGTCCAACAGATCCCGAGGCATGAACTTTGTGGGAATGCTGGAACAGATCCTGTCAACCCCAGGTCTGCCCATTACTGGCTTACTCTCTTGCGCTTAGAACTGCACTGCCAAAGCTGGTGCAGATGTGTGAACAGACTGAGCATGTGAACTAATTCCAAAAAACCTGTGTTTGTGATGTGCAAGTTCTGCTGGTGGTGTTTGATCCTGGATGGCTCATTCACATGGGCAATTATTGCAGCTCCCCCACTCACCGGGAAGTGATGGGCATGTTTATGTAAAGCCTCTCAAAGACACAGAAATGCCACTGCCAACCTGGTGCCCACTGATAGCTGGGAAGGATGAGAATTACACTTCCACACTTCTGGGAATATCAGGCTGCAGTAGGCTGACTGAGAAGATGGGGTAAGCTATCCTAATTTAGCCTCACTCAATTGATACATAAAGGCAATGTCCAAGTCAAACTCAGTTTCCAGCTGGTAAAGTGGGAATTAACAGCAGTTTAGAACAAATCAGGATAGGCTCACCTATGCTGAGTGTTTTGTCTTAAAGCCTGTAAGACAGTGGATCCTAGGGTATGCAGTCAAGATAAAAATTCTGCTAGATTGACCTCTACTGGTTCTATTTGCTTTGGTGTTTAAGGCTTCTATAAAGCCTTAAGAGTCTCAAAATAATACATAAGAGAAAACATCTAATTAATTTAAAAATTGCAACTATGTTTAGTCTTAATGCATTGTCCTTTAACAATGAATCTATGTGACACTTTCCTGCTAAATTGCTCACACACTGCCCCTCAGGGCTAAAGGGATCATGGAATGACCCTAAGAAATTAAGTTTCCAAGGCTCTGATATGGATAGGCAGGGAGGGGATGAGAGAAGAATGGTTTTCCAAACATAGGACACAGAGGGAGGCCAAAAAACAATCCCTGCTATTCTAGCAGTTGCCTGTGAATGCCCGCCCACACACAAAGCGGAGCTGAAGTTTGAAAAGTAAAGTGAAGTTTGAAAAGTTTGCAAGGTGCACTGTGAACTTGCATTTTTATGGCTTACACAAACAGAGAAACATGTGTTCCATTTCCTACAACAGCTTATCTACATTCCTAAAATGACCCAACTTCTACCACATTTCACTATGGCCAGAAACAAGAAGGTGCCATGGCTGAAATAGCTTCAGGAGCTTGCCAAAAGGAAAGATATTTTCTTTCTGAGCTACTCCCCTATAAAAGAAACCTTACAATATCAAGGATTGTTTCACACAGAAAAAAGCAAACAAAGAGACAAGAGAGAGGGGTACAAAAGTTACGCATTCTGTGGGGAAAGTGGAAAGAGAAACATTTTGCTTCCTCTCTCAAAATACTAGAGCACCGGGTCATCACACAAACCTGATAGGCAGGAAATTCAGAAGAGATAAAAAGAATTACTTCTTCACCCAGCACATAGTTAAACTATGGAATTCACTTCCGCAAGATGAATTGAAGGCCGACTGGTTGTATTCAAGAATGTTATCAATGGTTACTGGTCCTGAAGGCTATAGGCTACCTCCAGTATCAGAGGCAGTACAGCAGTTGCTGGGGAACATGGGTAAGAGGGTGTTGTTGCACTCATGTTCTTCACACTTGTTTGACAATTGCATGAACAGACTGCTGGTCTAAATGAACTCTTGGTTTGATCCAACATATCTTTTCTTACGTAGCTAAATCTTGTTCATTTAAATTGGCCTACTCTAAGTAGGACTAACACAGGATGCAATCCAATATTCCCACACCCCTACTAAAATGAGATCTACTGAACTGGCAGGCAAAGCAGTTGGTTTTTGCAAACAAAAATAAGGGTGGGGACAGAAACTTCTCTGTGCTTGAAATATAAAACATGTTTAAAAAACTGTTACTTTCTAAATGGGAGGAAATGGGTTTCCAGTAGTTGGCACCCTCTCATCTTAAAGTGTGATGCTCCTAGTCCTAATTTTGCACAGGGAGACTTTGGGTACCCAGTGGTAAGGGGAACACGAGGTTGCAGAATCATCACAATGCCTTCACTTGTCCTGCAGCTGAAGCATTACTGAAAAGAGGTTCTGGGGCTGGACAGAGGACCATTGAGGAAGGACTGGCTTTGCTTATGCAAGATGCACTGCTACACTGGAAACGGCATGCATGCAGATTGTCATTCAGGACACTGTATGAGCACGGGCAAGCCACAGGGTGTATGTGAGGTGGAAGTGTAAACATGTATGTGGTTCCCACATACAATGATAGGAAGGCAACCCTGGAGTTTTACAGAGGATGCAGTCAACACGGAGAGGAAGCCAAAGATGAATATGAAAGACGTTCACAACACATTCACTGATGTCATACCTTGATCTCAGGTGTACTCATAAAATAAATAGTGGAGCAGCAAATGGTTGCTCATTATCTTCTAAAAAGTGCCTTTTGCACTGGAAAAAGTATGAACTGGCCTGGAATTTTTCTTCCTCGGAACAATAAACTGAATTTATTGGAGCACTGGCCAGATTTCAACTCACTTTATCTCTTAAAAAGGCTAGGCACTGCTAAGCTCTGACTCACATCTCTCCCACACAGATACAAAAGAAAGCTCTTTTCTTGGGCATGAAGGAGCTGCAAGTGGTCTTAATCTAAGGAAGCTTAACTGGAACTCTCCAGTTCAAGAAGATTGCAGCCAAAAGCATGTCAGAGATAAGGATACTGTCGCCATGAAGCCTTGAATGTTCAATGAGGTTAAGACCACTGGTGAAAAGCCAGCCACAAAACATACTGATAAGCGCATGAATTTAGCAACTTGGTCCTCTCACACCTCTCTGCTGCCCCCGCCCACTCCCTCCAAAATTCAACATGAGCTGAACTCAGCTACGACCAGCTTACACCGTGCAGTCCCCACACGTTCCTCTCGGAACTTTCTCCTGTGTTTATTTTAAAGAGGTCCCAGGGAAAAGAAACTTCCTAGCGTTCCTAAAGCACTACCTCCTCCCTCCCTCCCCTCTCGAAAGAGGTGAGATTTGCGGGGGCGACGAGCGGATTCTCTTCTTCCCAGACACACATTCCTGACCTGATCAGAATTTATATTCCAGGAGAGGCAATTTCAAGAGCTAGCAAGAAACCGCTCTCCGGTCCATGCCCACCTAACGAGTGCGCCTGTTCCTCCTTAAAAATGCAATATCGATTTTGGACCTGGGCGGATCCGTGAAGGGCCCCACGCAGACACAAATAAAATTACGGGGAAATTCGGTTGAACTTACGTGTAGCCTTCCGAATTGATGTCTCCGTAGCTTTTTTGGACATAGTACATTTTGTGGACATGGGTGCTGCCCCCTCCTCCTCCGCCGCCGCCGCCGCCGCCGCCACCGCCCATCATCATATGGGAGTTCATTTCATACCGCATATCCGGGCCGGACTCGGTTCTGATCATCCTCCCCACGCCCAAGGTGTTGAGCCTGGGGTGGGACCCCCCGTTCATGCTCATCTCGGCGGCTGAGTCGGTTCAAACTTCGCGTCTCGGAGAGGAAAAGAAGCCTCGGTTCAGAACAAAGGCATCAATTCTCCCGGGACCGACTTGTGGGGCTAGGGGAAAGTTGCTTCCTCTGCCTTTCTTTCGCTCTCTTTCCCTCCAGATCACCCTCAAGCCTTTGCAAGGCTCAGGTCCTCACCGAGGAACAGGCACGGAAGCAAAAGCGCGAGCTAATAGGCCACCAAGGACAATCCCCTAAAGGGAACAAGGTCCGCAGGAAAATAGCAGGGCAGATCTGCAGATTGAAAGGCGGAGGCGGTCCAAAGGGGCCTGCAAAAGAGGGGAAGGGGTTTTGGAGAAGGGTGGGCCAAACTGGGAAGAGAGTGGGAAACAATCTCCGGAAAGAGAGGGGAAAAGAGGAAGGTCCCGCTAGCGCTGTGCAGCTGCGCGTGTGTCCAGGTGAGAAGACGGCAGAAGGTGAGGGTTGATGGCGGCGGCGCGGCGGCGGCGGAGAAGAGATCGGCCGGTCCCGCCCTGCTGGCCCAGTAAAAGCGAGGCCGCACCTTTTGAAATCCCTTTTGAACGGGCAAGCCTGGGCGTGGAGCTGCCGCCCCCGGGTCTCGCCTCCCACCAGCGAGCTCATAAACTGGGCAGAGTTTCTGCGAGGCTTCAGGCCTCCTCTTGCTGCTCTTCTCCTTTACCTGAGCCCTACCCAGAGGCGAGGAGCCGCCCCTCCTGGCGCGCTGCTGGGTCCTTGTGTTACAGGAAGCGAGCGGGAGGCATGGCTGCCGAGTCTTGCTGGGCCCTCCCTTGGCAACGAACAGGCTGGGCCGCCATGGAAGAAAACCCCCTTTTCCACTCCCTTGCACGAGCCAACGCTGGCCCTTCTCCCCTTCGCACACATTTTACACTGCAGGGTAAATATTCAAGGTGGTTTAAGGTCTGGACGGTGCACATCTCAATGCCAATGAATATCCCTTGCACAATTCCATGGGAGGATGGCTCGCGCGTGGGTTTCCAAGTTATTAAGTATTATTTGCACTATTTCTGCACGCCAAATATTAAAAACGAAAGAAAATCCTAAACGGTCATTCGTGGAGACTGAAGCAGAGATTCATGGTACGAAGCAGGCAGGAATGGCTTATGAGGTGGAGAAATACAAGCTCTGTTGAAGGTGAGGGCTTTAGCATGCAATTGTCCTGTTTCATCCATGTGATAAGAACATAAGAAAAGCCCTGCTGGATCAGACAAAAAGTCCAGCTAGTCCAGCACTCCATACACACAGTGGCAAACCAGCTGCCCACAGGAGCCTTTCAGCCGAAGGGGTGCAAGACATCCTCATGCCCAAGCTCCTGAGCAACTGGTATGTATGGGACCTGCCATCTCTGGCCAAGGAGGAAGCACACAGCCAGCAAGGCTAGTAGCCACTGATGGCCTCCTCCTCTGTAATGGGAAGGGAAGCCACAGTTCCAGAGAGCATTGCCTTCCCTTTGTAGCCCTCCCACGTTTTCCTCTTCCTTTCTTTCCACTAACTATCAATTAAGGAGGAAAAGATGGCCCAGTGTCTTTCAGTTGATAGTCCTAGTTCCACCTTGCCTGCCTTCAGCCTTTTTGGAACTTCTATGATGTGTGGATGGGGAGCACGTTGAGAACACCAGGCCTGACCCAAGGTCAGTTTGTTTCCCAGAATGTCTGCTTCCCTCTACACTCAGTGCATGGGTGGATTTGGATGATTCTTTTGAGGCCTAAATTACTCCATACAGTATTTTCTTCTGCTGTGAAGAGGAGCCTATCTACATAAAGTCCTGGAGGGATAGGCCAAAATGGATTTGATGGATTTCAAAGCATTAGTTGGGAGGGCAAAGAACACAACTTAAACTGATTTCTAACTAAAGAAACTCAGTAGATAATAATAACAGTAAAGGGCAAGCCTTCAAACATGCAGTGACTTAAACAATGATAGATGAAAAGTTCATTCACTTCATATTTATTATTTATTTATTTAAAACATTTCTATGCTGCCCCCATCGCAACAAAGCCTCGGGGCGGCTCACAAAAAATCTACTATCTTTGCTATTGCTTGGAAGATTATTATGATGCCATATAATCAACCAAGCCTGCCTTTTAAAAACATTATATGCATACTCAGTAGTACTCATATGCTGAGTACTGACATCGTCATAGGTGATAAAGCAGTACAGAACTTAAGAAAGGTAAGATGTTTTATTTTGACTTCTTGCTGTCTTTATGTTCTGTTTTCCCAACCTGGTGTCAGGGAGAGGTCAAAACAGAACTGAAGACCTCTCTGTGGTATACTAGCATGGAGTGCTCACTGGTGGAACATTCAAGCATGTAATGTTCTTATATTTTTATTAAGTTTTGGTATGCAAGGACTTTGCAAAACAGCTAACAAAGGACATCACCACTATATTGTATATAAGATAATAGCATATGCAAAGATCAAGATTAGCTTCTTTTTCAACAGCTAAGAGAGCAATTTCTGGAAGACCTGAAGTAATACAGTTATAGAAATAATGATTCTGTAGGTTGCATTTGTGAGTACTGGACCAACATGTAATAATTAGTAGTTATTTCCAATGAAAAGTGAATGGAAAGTACCAGGTTTTTGTCTTGTGTTTATGTGATTTGTTTTAAAATTGTACATTTCACCATGGAAGGGGTATTTTCATGGTGACTCATTTCTTGTTAGTATTCTGAATGATGTTAAATGGGCAATATTTTATTTTGTTGGGTGCCATTGGTTTTATTTTTAACTGGTGTTAATTGCCCTGACTGCATGGAAACAACTGGATCAGAATTTAAACTACATGCAGTGTAAAGCACAGTTTTCAAAAGGTTTTGTTGCACAATAAAATGATTGTTAGGATCAAATAAATGTTTTTACAAGCAAAGTTAGTTCTGAACTGTGGGCTTGCAGTATTCCTCAGTCCCTATTCTTCCCCTATAAGCTACATACACAATTGTAATTGGCTTCCACATGCCAGTCAGTTTAGCTCTTTTTGAATGCTCCATCCACACTAATAAGCCAAACATAGGCCTGCAAGAAGTGCAAGGATCAAGCTGGGGTTGGAACTTAAAAAACTGATGTATGTGTTGAAGCTGTACATCCAATTTCATCCTGATACCTCTGTTGCCAATATATTTTGCATTTTCTTCCAGCAATACCCCTTGGGGACAAGTCAAACTAGTTTTTGAACCCAAAGCATAGAATCATTTCCTAAATGTGTACAGCAGGTTCATTCATACAATAAAACATTCAGGAAAGATGTGCTAAAGCAAATGCACAAACAAAAATGCTAGTGAGATGAGTTAAACCAGTTTACCCTGGCACTAAAGGCCAAACTTCATGCCTAGCTCTGTTGCAGTTCTTCCTTTATGAATTAGCAACCCCATGGAACTTCCTTGAAAATTGGGGAAGCAGTGCTTTGAAAAAGGGCACTTACTCCTGCCTTCCTGTGCTTGTTACCCAGTATTTAGCTCTAAAGCATGGGTCCTCAAACTACGGCCCACCATGCCCATTTATCCAGCCCATCTCAGAAGTTTTGGACTCGCTCGGAGAAAATGATCTCCGAGCGAACCATCCGCAAGCCATCCTCAGCGGTGGGGGACACCTTGCTGGCCCGCGCCCACCACAGCCTCCTTTCAACTGGCCCCCTGTTGAAAAAGTTTGAGAACCCCTGCTCCAAAGGGTGAGGGATGGTTCGCATACAGCATCAGGAGTGTGATTCTGGACTTGCCAAGATTTAGGCTCAGAGTCCATGGAAACATAACAAAAAGCGCTGAGAGCATGTGCAAACTGCTCCCCACATCAAAGACTTCAAGCCTCTCTGCATAGGTGAAATGACTTTCACATCAGGCAGAATGATGCCTTGCAAAATAATATTGAAGACTAGCAAGTTTCAATTTAGAGATCAAACTTCAAATGCCACTTTTGCCTCTCTGCATGTCAAATGGCCATACAGAGATTGTACACATAAGTGAAAAGATAATGGAAAAGGTTTGTAAGGTTTTTCTTTTTTCTGTGCTGTTACTGTTGTATAAATGCACAATATATTGTTGTTGTTACTGTGCATGTTGTTGTTATTATATATTTTGTTATCTGCCCAGAAAGTCATCTTGACTAATGGACAGGATAGAAATTTAATTAATAAATAATGTAATCTTTTAATTAGTTTGTTAATTGCACACTGCAGACGCCATCTAGCATCACTTGCATTGGACTAATTACCTCTTGACAGACTGTTTCAATGTGCAGAAAAAGAAAATCAGCAGGGAAACAAGTTAGCCAAGTTAGATGATAAGTTGGAGTGAATGTTGGAGACATAACATGAATATTGAGATTATGTGACAAAATAGCCATGTATGGATGCTCCATTAACCCATGTTTGTTTTTTGAAAATGGTGGGGAATTCAGTGAGAAAATAGCGTTCAATAAGATGAAGTTTTGCACCTGATGGTTTTCCTTTATGCAGGAGTGGAGAACTTTTGGCCTTCCACATATTTTGCCTTACAGCTCCTGTCAGCCCTCACTATAAGCAATGTCTTTCTGAGCCCTTTGTGGGTGTTAGTGTATAAATCAAGTATATTAATAAAAAAGCAAGCAGGGCTGTATTCATTCCTGCTACATTCTTATTTACTGGGGTGCAGTGTGTTTGTGTGTGTGTGTGTGTGTGAGAGAGAGAGAGAGGGAGAGGGAGAGGGAGAGAGGGAGAGAGACATGTTGCGTGTACATGTCGGACCTCACTGGGGTTGGGTACTGGAAGGAATATAGTTTGCTCATATCATGAACAAAATTCTGAAGTGGTACAAAGCTGTTTTGGCATTCAAGGTTGCTTGAGTTGGGAAAAGGAAACCCCATATCCAGCATTTCCATCAGAGCCTTGCAGCACTAGAAATGCTCACAAGATATTATGAACATTGTGCACAGAATAACCTCAATCATGAGAAAAAAAAGTTATGGGTAGAATCTTGCAAAGAGCATTTTGCAATGTCTTCATGGGACTGCATGGATGCAGCAATGAAGCATGCAAAACACTTCTCATGGAGGGTGTGGTAGATAATATCCCAGTCAGACCTGATCCACTGCTCAGCTGAAAAACTTGAAATGCCTCACAGTTTTGCTTCAGGTGGAGCAAAGCAACACAGCTGGTGCTCTTTCTCCAACACAGACAATAGACAAGAATGTGTCTTGTGTTACTTGCCTCAGAACAGTGAAACGACAAGCTTAATTATTTGCTCTTCAAGTACCTGCTGTCCTTGAAATTCCCTTGGACAATGAATTCTCTGTCTTATGAATGCTGGTGACATTATATGTTATGTTCCATAAAAGACATTTAGGAACAATGTGATTGTAGCCATTTTTAGATATGTACTAGAGCAGGGACAGGACACAGTGCATTGGTCAGCTTTGCAGAGATGTACAAAAGGAAGGAAATTAGGAACAAGGGGAGTCCGAACTTTCTCTTCACCTT